TAAAAATTTCAAGACAATAAAACCATCACAGGCCTGTGTTATCTTTAAAAACACGGAATCAAAAATATTTGTATTAAAGATATACGGAAATAATAATAATAATGGCTGTCTTTCACTACAGCTAAATCGGACTACTCTTAGATAATCACAGTTGTTGTTAGTATGTGTTTTTTTATAAGAAATAAAAAAAATACCAGGATTAAAATTTAAAGTAAAAGTTAAACTAGTGTAGAAAGTTTATGGTAAGAATTAATAATAACCCGTGTTTAATATTTGTGATAAGAGTTAATACAGGCCTGTGTAGAAAACTCCCCATCTTCTGTTGGCACATCTTTCACTCCCCCTATCTTCTGTTGGCACATCTTTCACTCCCCCCATCTTCTGTTGGCATATCTTTCACTTTATACCATCTGGATAACCAATAGCTTTCCAAACCATTAACAAATATACCATCTGGATAACCAACAGCTTTCCAAACCACTAACAAATATACCATCTGGATAACCAATAGCTTGTCCAAACCATTAACAAATTTAACATTAGCATAAATAACGTCACAGGCTTGTAGTTATTATCGTAAAAAATGACAAGTCACGTGACTGTTCTCAGCTCTGGAAGTGACACTCAGCTACATTCAAGCATGGTTTCTGGAAGACAAATTAAATGTTGTTTTTTAAAACTGATGGCGCTTGTAGGGTTTCACTAATCTTTCAAACAATAACTTTTGAAGGGTTATAGTGAAAATATGTTATACATGTGTTTTTTTAATGATTATACTGCCCATCTTTTAATTAAGGGTTTTTTGAAGGGTTATTCTGCCCATCTTTTATACAAGTGTTCTTGATGGGTTATGTTGTCCATCTTTTATACAAGTGTTCTTGATGGGTTATATTTTCCATCTTTTATACAAGTGTTCTTGATGGGTTATGTTTTTCATCTTTTATACAAGTGTTCTTGATGGGTTATGTTGTCCATCTTTTATACAATGGTCTTTGAATGGATGATATTATTTTTCTTTTAAATTCCGTTTTGTTCGTGTGGTAGATAACTAATTTTGAATGAGTGTATGGAAGTACAGATGTCAAATTATACGTTTGAGTGTGGTAGCAGAAATACAGAACAAGAATGGTAATATCCGGTTTGTTAATGGTTTGGACAAGCTATTGGTTATCCAGATGGTATATTTATTAATGGTTTGGACAAGCTATTGGTTATCCAGATGGTATATTCGTTAATGGTTTGGCCAAGCAATTGGTTATCCAGATGATATATTTGTTAATGGTTTGGACAAGCTATTGGTTATCCAGATGGTATATTTATTAATGGTTTGGAGTTGCCTGCTGTCACATTGTTCTGTCGTATGTTAAAGTCGAGTTGCCTGCTGTCACATTGTTCTGTCGTGTGTTAAAGTCGAGTTGCCTACTGTCATGTTCTTCTATCATATTTTAGAGTCGAGTTGCCAACTGTCACATTGTTCTGTCATATTTTAGAGTCGAGTTGCCAACTGTCATATGTTAGATTCGAGTTGCCTACTGTCACATTGTTCTGTCGTATGTTAGATTCGAGTTGCCTACTGTCACATTGTTCTGTCGTATGTTAGAGTCGAGTTGCCAACTGTCACATTGTTCTGTCATATTTTAGAGTGACAGTAGGCAACTCGAACCTAACATACGACAGAACAATGTGACAGTAGGCAACTCGAATCTAACATACGACAGAACAATG